GACCTAGTTTATCCATTACAAGCTTAGTAACAATTCTGACCCATCGCTTCTTTCCCTTTGAACTGAAGGGGATCAAAATATGCCACCCCAGAACATGCTACTTTGGCATAAGGATTATTTTAAGCTGAAGACAATTAAGAAACAGCAGACACAGGAGGCACTCCCTGATCTCCCCCTTCCTACCTGAAAGCAGGGCATAAATTTCCCTTTGTGAAGGTGTCCCTCACCCCTCTCCTTCTCACAGGAAGAGAACAACCCTTATCACTGGAGACGGAAATATAGCACTGAGATGAATCTGCACCAAAAAAGCTTATTAAAGTAACCCTTATCTTCCATTAGTTTGCCACATATATTTATCTTCCCACAATTTACCACCCCTAGAAGCCCAACCCCCTTTCCTTGGTCTAGTCACTTCTCCACAATTTATCACCCTTTGTTAAGTTGGTATTAAGCTCTGAGGCCTTACTGCTTCTTTGGGTTTTTTTTCACTTCTTTCCTGTGATGTTCCCATGTGCATACAAAATGAAACTTTTCTCCTGTTAATCTGTCTATAGTCAGTTTAATTTGCAGGCCCCAGCTACTGCACTTAAGAGGGTAGAGGAAAAGTTTTTCCTCCCCTACTGAACACAATATGGGGCAAAGTCATCTCATACCTGACCCTCTTAACAGCTTAAAGTAATAAATTCTATCAAAGAAAAGTGAACTCTCAAGTATACCAACACATGTCACTCATCTTGAAAATACATGTCTTAAAAGGGGCTTACTCATTTGTATCACGGAAGGGAAAAAAAAAGCCTCCTGAAAAAGCAAGACTAAGGAGGAGTCAGGAAATTAAGGCAAGCAGTCACACCATATAGACGCCCTGGGAAGGCATTCTAGACTGGTTACTTCAGAAGCATGAAATTATGAGACCAGGAAATGAATGACTCTAGGACCAAACTCATTGTCATCTGACTCCCATAATTATGCAGGGTTCACCAGATTCATTTTAATGCTTTCATGGGGTGAAAGTCTTCACACAGTTCTGGCTTCCCACAAAGACCCCAGCACTGTGTCTGGCTCATGTACACCAGAATGAGAATGGAGCTCTTTAAAAACATATCTGCTGGGGCTTCTCTCCAGACCCATTAAATCAGCTCTGGGGTGGAGACCCACACGGCAGACCCTTAACCAAGTGTTTCTAGAGTAAGTGATGCCTGGTTCCTAAGAAGTAGGAGTAAGAAGGTTCCTCCCTTGTAGTTGAGAACAACAAACATTCATCAAGTCATAAACTACTCCACACGATTAGACTAAAGCCATGGTTTCTGATGGCTGGGCCGCAAATTCCACAGGTTATACTATGCTTAGTTTGTTTTCAACCACATTTTAGCTGACAATTTGCTCCTCAGAGAGTGAGGGTCCTGGACTAGAACAACACTTCCTAAATTCCCCTAAGGACCTGTGTGAGTCCAATCCATAATGTAATGAAAACAATGGGACCCATGTAGTATTTCATAAAGCTAAAGTATTCCATTTAAAGGACTGTCCTTTCTTGAAATTATAAGCTTCCTACTTTTTATTAAGATATTATTCTTGATTAGGTGCCGACCCCGTGGCCTGGTGGTTAAGTTCACCATGCTCCACTTCGGTGGCCTGGGTTCAGAGCCCAGGTGTGGACCTACACCACTCATTGGCAGCCATGCTGTGGCAGCGACCCACATACAAAATAGAGGAAGACTGCCACAGATGTTAGCTCAGGACGAATCTTTCTTAGCAAAAAAATATATATATATTATTTTTGATTAAAATGATAGTGATAGAAGAACTTTTTTAATGGCCATTACTCTAAAAAAAATTAAGTCAGCAAGCTTATGTGAGTGCCTCCATTTTTAAAAAAACCATAATCAGACTGGATCAGTGGATCTCCAAAATCACTTCCAGCTCCATCGCTCCATGAGTCCAAACTTTCATGGAGGAAGGCTTAAAACAAAAAAACTAAAAACAAAAACTTGTGGGGCCAGCCTGATCAGGTAGCGGTTGAGTTCACGT